AAAAATAATTTGTTTCTTTCTTTCGTTGAGCCTATAATTGGCAGTCGGTAGTCTCAGTGTATTTTCAAAAGCCTTCTTTTTGTTTGTAAAATATTGTTATGAGTATGTTATACACTTTAACTCAATTCTTTTCTCGATTCCAATGAACGATTTGCTAATGCGAAGAAGGGAATAAGATTTAAATTTCGATCTGAAATATGTTCTTTTTAGCGCCCAGTTCAACTGTTTCTCCAGAGATAGCATCAAAGTAGCATTAATTTGTTGTAAAAAAATTGCTGAATAATCTAAATGTGATAAAACAAGACAATGAAGCAAGGCAACTAATGATAATGTCGGCAGTTGTTGTCCAATTGTATCAATAGTTTTAATCCCTTGGGCCATTTTTTGGAGAACTGTTTTGATTTGAGCATGAAAAGATAAACTTGAATCAAGAATTATGCCTAAATATTTGCATTCTGATTTTTTGGCTACATAATGCCCACTAATTACTAGTTTATCAGTATCCACATTTTTGCTATCATTTTTTTGACAAAATGTTATAAATTCCGATTTAGATGCATTCAGATTCAATTGGTTCTCTGCAAAAAATTCCGTTAGATTATTGAGTGATTTTTGCAATCGATTCAAAGCATCCTCAGAAATTATAGAAGAGGAAAAAACCATACAGTCGTCAGCATATTGAACTAAAGTACAACCTTCATATAATCGCTCTTGTATGTCATTAACATATAAATTGAACAACAACGGACCAAGTACCGTTCCTTGTGGGACACCTAGTTTTATTTCAATCCAGTCTGAAAAAATTCCATTGACGTTTACTCTTTGAATACGTTTGTTTAGGAAGCTAGCAATTAAAGCATTTGCTCCATTTGAAAAACCAAGAGAAAGCATTTTTTTCATTAAAACTTCATGCGAAATAGAATCAAAAGCCTTGGATAGATCTAATAAAGCTGCATGTACGATTTTTTTTGAATCTATTTGATTTCAAATACTTTCTGTCACATAAACAAGAGCATCTTGTGTTGAAATGTTTTTGCGAAATCCGAATTGAAAAGGTGTCATTATTTGAAATTTGTCAAGATGTTCTTTTATTTGGGCATGTAAAATTTTTTCAAAAAATTTTAGAAAAAGCACAAGTTATTGATATTGGCCGATAATTTCTTGCATCCATTGGGTCATCTTTTTTAAACAAAAGGGTTACGTTTGCTTTTTTCAGTTCGATCGGGAAAATGTTCTCATCTAAGCAAGTATTTATGACAAAAGTTAAATGTGGAACTATAACTGATTGACCGTCAATGATTGCCCAAGCAGGTACGGTACAAGGTCCGAGAAGTTTTCTAACATTGATTTTTCGAACTATATCAAAGCATTGCTTCACTGTAATGTGTTGAAAATGAAAAGGTGCAGATTCAGAGGCAGATTTGTTGTAATTCGGAGGCTTTTTAGCGCCGAAAAATTCGCCTAAGTTTGAAAAAATATAATTTAAATGATTGGCAATTTTTTTGTCTTGGGTTATCATTTCACTGAAGGAATTTCGTAGAACTCTAATTCGATTGTTGCCAGAACATGTACCTCTAACTTGGTTAATATATTTCCATTTTTGTTGGATAGTGCTGAGAAGTGAAAAACAATTTTTTGAATGATCGAGTTGTTTACTTCTAATCAATTGGCTCATTTGATTACGTAAAAACCGGTACTTTGACCAATTATTGCTTGTGCTTTGACTGCGATATGATCTGAGTGAATTCTGTTTCTTAGTCAACAATTGCTGACATTCTGAATCGAACCATTCCGTTTTCAACACGTTTTTTGTATTAAAATTACAAACAAACTTTTTTTCGATAGGAGCATGTTGCTGTAGAGCACAAGAAATTAAATAAATCATCGTCGAGAACATGTTTTGTGCGTCTGTACATTGATATAAGAGATATCAAGGAAGAGCGGAGAGGGAATTGCAAAATTCATTTTTCTGATAATTTTTCTTATTGAATGTCGAAATTATCCTCGGTAAAACTTTGCCGCATTTTATATCCGTCAAAATAAATGAAGCAAAATGGTCGGTTTTATAAGGTGTATCAAAACAAAATTCAATGCCGTTTGTTTCATAGTCACTGATTATGTAGTCGATATGAGTTTTTGTTGAGGAACTAATTCTGGTCTCATCGTTTGGACAAAAAACCTTCAATCCATATGGAATAATTATAGAATCTAAATTTTCTTTTTCTTTGCTATCCAGATAATTTATGTTATAATCACCCAGAAGCTTAATTTTATTAGAAACTGAAAATGCATTATCTATGTTAAGCGTTAATTGTTCCAAAAAATTGATTAAGTTTGATCTGCTTGGGTTATAACACAAATTAACTAACAATTTTTCTTTATTCGAAATGTTAAATGTAGATTTGCACTCAACCCACACTGACTCATATTTTTCTTTATCAAATAAATTTAAATCAGGCCTCAATTTCGGAGCCAATTTGACTGGTATATATAACAAAACGCCACCGCCTTTCTTTTTTACCGCTGATTGCCTATCATATCTGAACATCGCATGCGTTCTAGGTTGGAAATTCCATAAATTGTCACTATTTTCTTTTTTAAGCCACGTTTCGGAAATTCCTATAATTGTATTTTCGCCCATATCATCAAGAAACTTTTTCAATTGCATCCGTTTTCTAATAATACTTTGAAAATTCAAATGAACAAAATTAAGATTTGCATAATTTTTTGAGCAGATACCGTAGACTGTTTCAATGGTTTCAATAGAACAAGGGTTTTTTCAACATCTCCACTTTGGGTCAGTAACAACGCGAAAAGGAAAAGATGAGTCAGTGTGGTAGCTCTCCGCTCATTTATCCCACATTTCGATGATAATATCTTTTGCTGGCAGCTTAGATAGCCCCAGTAAACAATAGTTTTTTCTTTAGTTTCCATCTGAGCCTTGGAAATTAGAAAAAATGCACAAAACAACCAGAATTTAATATTCAGCATAATAAGTTAAATAAATTAAATAATCGCCAAAGTTTGCACCGAGAAAAAATGCGAAACTAGTATTTCCTAAAAAATTTTGCACCGTTTTGGAAAAATTGTAACATTTCTGCCGTTTTTGGATCTAAATTTGATGATTGTTGGGTTTGCTTCATTCTGGGGCGGGTTGTAATCTCACATGTGTTTGCATTAATATCAGAACCTCTAAAAGAATCTCTAAAACTTTGCACCAAAATTTCAACACCCCCATCAGAAGGATGCAAACCATCCGAGCTAAGCGCATCGGTATTTTGACTAAAAATTTTTGTTTATGTCTAAAATATCCAATTTTACTTCGCCCAAGTCTTTTACATTCCGTACTAAATTAAGAACTTGCTTGTTTAGCTTCTGTACATTTGGATTAAAATCTTTTCTAAAAGCGCCTAAGGGAGTTACAGTACATAGTGAAATTGTTTCTGTGGAAAATTTATGATTTATGAGATAAATTAGTTTTTCTAAGCTACTCACGGCTTCCTTCGCGTCGAAATCACTTGAGAGGCAGTCATTTATTCCAATTAGCGTTGTTAAATGTTTAAAATGTCGCGATTTACTGTTTCTCACCAGTTCCAGCAATGCAGAAATTTTGTGCCCACCAAATCCTCTCGCCAACACATTTTCCGATATTTGTTCCCCATGGATTCTGTTAACAATTGAGTCTCCCAGTAATAGGCCAGAATATTCTCCTTCTCGTGGTAAAAAAAATGTTTTCGTTGCTGGTCGAATTTTTCTTCTTGAATATTGGTTGCTTGTATTTTGATTTCTTGGTTATTCTTGCTTTCTTGGTTATTTTCGCTTCGTTTGTTCTGATTTCTGCTCCGAGTTCCAATCTTGCTCCATTGATTTTCAAATTTGTTTTCTGTAATTTTCGAATTGCCCGTGTTTTTAAAATTTTCTAGATCAATAAATTTGTTTCCTCTTTCTTCCTCTTTCGTTGATACAGTTAAGTTTTCGATAATTCGTTTAAAATAAGTAACATTTTCGACCAAGTCTTTGTACAGCTCGTATTTCAATTCGTCGTTCAAATTTCGGAAAGTTTCGAGGTCAAACATGTTGGCGATTAAAAGCGGAATTAAAAATAAGACGTTAAAATGAACCGACTGATCGCTAGAAATTTAATTTGGTTGTGAATTTTGGTTGTGCGAGACAGGGATTCTGGGCGATATAATCACTTGAAATAAGCACATCGAGAAACAAATCTCTGTCGGATTTTTCGCCCGTAAAGCTGCAAACAGCTAAATACTCCAGTATATATGTATTGTTAATGTGCAGTTTGCTAGAACAGCGTGCTATATATGGTCCCAAAAACTGCATGCATAAATATCTACATACAAAGCCAAAAAATGTCAGGTTAAGTCGAATAAAGTCAAAAGATTTGACTCAAAAGTCAAAAAGGTACAAACATCGACCCAATTAGTCCAATACTGACATCGTTTGATTGTTTCAGTTGAATCATGGACCGATTCGGATGAAAACCCGCTCGATCACCACTTAAATTATGCTGGAGCACTTAAATACGGTCGAGCACAATATTTGTGGTCGAGACCGTCGTAAAATATTTCGCTTGGGTCGAAATTTTAAAGCGAGCGGCTCGACCCGGGAATTGCTAACATATGTTAATTCATCGTCTAAATTTTGGAACTTGAGCTCATCGTAGAACTAGAGAAATTATCCGCTTAAGTGTTAGAAATTATACTGAATGAAAAAAGCTGTCAGAAAAAAGCTGTCTATTTTGAAGCTGTCAGAACTGAATGAAAAAAAAAATCGAATCTACGCCTTAGTTCAACCCCACTCTTCGAAAGCTGTAGAGAAATATTTTTTTGTGTTATTTTTGAATCAATTTAAACTCAATTGTTTGAATTGACAAAATTTTTAAGTAAACAGAGAATTATTATCTGACCTTTTTTCAACATTTTTGTAAATGACGCAAACAAGTTAATATTTGCTTGCAAAACCAGAATATTTAATTAGATGAGCGTGGAACAGAGTAGATAATATATAGTTTCAAAATGCTGAAGTTTATATTGATATTTGTTACTTTGAACTTGAACGTAATCGGTGAGTCTATATATGATCAATGAAAGTTCAAAACTGTTTTTTTTTCTTCAGAAAATGGAATACTTATTCATTAACATTTTTAATCGAAACACAATCAGTTAATTACTCACTGAAACCCTAGCCTTACCCGTTTTTGAGCTCTAATGAACTACTTTACGTTTTTAAAGCTCAAAAATTGTCTTTGGTCCACCAGAAAAATACAAAAAAAAGCTTTTCTCAAAATCAATTGCACACTTCACTGTGAAAAGTTGATTTGTCTTTTCAGATGGAGTCAGGTGGTCTTCCTTGAAATTCTACCTCCCGGATGAGGGGCACCCGACCGGAAAACTGTGCAATGATCACAGGTAATAAGCACAAACTAAAATTTGAACCATTAAAACTTTTACTGTTTGTGTACACTGGTAGCTAATTGATGATTTTAATCAAACTTACAAAAAAAACACTCATTCATGAGTCCTTTGTCATCAGAATTTTCGACGTCATAAGCCAAATTTGTGTTGTGCCAAAAATTGAAGTTTGCAACATTTTGAATGAAAACTAAACCTTTCTCGGCGCATGTTTTATCTTAAACACTTTGGGTCAACCGTTCAATTCGCCCCCCATCGATTTAGAGGGGGATATGGATTTTTTATGAGCTAATTTTGAGTATAGCCAAGATTCGTTCAAATTTATTCGTATTACAAAAGAAAATTGAATTAAAACATTGTAATTTGTGTAACTACCAGCATACACAAATGCAAGCCCGCATAAAAAAGTTTTAGAAACCATGGAGGGGTCACTCTACGGTTGGTCACTTAGGGTGGAGGGGGGATTGTACGGTTTGATCCAAAAGTCTATACAATCACTCAGCTTGAAACTATTTTGAGTTATTTGGCCGAAAAATGGGTGACCGCTCGACTAGCATAAAGCTCAACTAGCATAAAAATTTGAAAGCCTGAGAACGTATCGACTAGCATAAATTTTATATCTTTGTTTCTCAGAAATACACTAACATTCCTTTCAAATTGAAACTTGTATCTTAGAGAAATTGAAAATTTATTAACTTAATAAAATTGGATAAATTAAGCAACCAACAAGCAATTGAAATTTCTCAAATTTATGAAAAGTTTTGATGATCAGTCACACCCCCACCCAGGGTCGGATTTAGGGGGGAGGGGTTGGGGGGTCGATCCCCCTTTCCCTCAGGATTCGACCCCCTGCCGACCCAAAGGGTCCCTTTTGGTACTTTTTAAGAAATCCATTTTTGGCCGACCGACCCTAAAGTTTTTCTAAAGGCGCCTTTGGCGCCAATATATACTAATTTTGAAGGGGAGCGCGGTCCAAAAAAACGCGATTTTTTTGTCAAAATTAAAAAAAAATTGCCCAAAAACGGCAAAGCCGTTTTTCAAAATTTTGCTTGTGGCGCACAAAATTTTACCCAAAACATAGTCTTTTTAATGTTTGAGGAGAGCTCGGAATCAATTCCCCCCCCCCCCCCCCCCCCTCGAGACTTTTTTTTGTGTGTATAATCAGGGGGAGATCTAGGATTTTAAATTGGTCGACATTTTTTGGGTCCGCTTCAAAACCAGTAGATATTGGCGCCAAAGGTGCATCAAGAAAAATTTCAAGGCTGGTCGATGGAGGTCATAAAATAAAACCAAAGTGGTACCCTTTGGTTGGTGAGGGAGTCTAATCCCTGAGATAAATGCGCCCCCACCTAAATCCCCGAGCATGTGTAATGATTTTAAAGTTTTGACAATATTTGACGGATGACGGATGTCTTCAACTATACACCCCCCCCCTTTTGCAAAATGGGGGGAGATTCGTTACTTGGTACAACGTTTACATATACTTAACCATTGAAATATTTCTTTATAGGGGTGACATGTCGTTAGTAGGTACCCTAGGGGGGGGGGAATAGTTGAAGAGATTCAATTTGACTTATGTGTTTCGATTTTTATGCTAGTCGATACGATTTTCAGTTTTCAAACTTTTATATTAGTTGAATTTTTTGATAGTTAATTCACCGCCAAAAAATGATATCCATAATGATCGCCAAAAGTTGATCAAATTGAGTTTTTAAATAATAGCACAACACCCCTATCCCCACCAAACAACCCTTAAATCAGCAAAATGAAATACATTTGAAAAAAACTCCCACCGCTGACCCTCAACAATTTTGTACAGACTAGGGTTTCAAAAGAACCGTTTCTTAAATTTAAATTAAGAAACAACCCAAAGAACAACGCAAAAATGTTTGTAAAATTATCTTTCTCGAATAGAAGGAGGTCGGTTATTGTTTTTGTGCTGCGACAACCAATTAAATCCGAATTTACAGCTCAAGACTAACAGCGGCTGCAAAAAAAACTGTAATAGTCGATTCATCACTTTTGTCTTCTCAATTTTGCTAAAATTCACTTTTTTCTTCTACAGAAGAAGCTACTGTCTCTGGGGCTATGAAATTGAGTCCAATGTCGGAGGCCAAGGTCACGAGATGATCCACCATAGAAGGCCACACATGTTCGACCACAGCCACTTCATGCACCTCATAAGCGACTCAGCAGACGGCAGAGAGCAGCTGTGGTCCAGAATCAACTGGCTCTCCCTAGATCCAGAACATTGGGGTTGGTAAACGAACAAAGTGATTTGGATAACTTAAATACAAGGGGGGGGGGGGGGGTTTAGTCAACAGTTTGAATAGTAGAACATAGAAGCCTTGGTGAAGTTGCTTTAGGTCTCGTCAGAATGCCTGCGGTTCAAAGATCACCTGTCACCAGTGGCGCGCACAGAAATTTTTCTAGGGGGGGAGGGGCGGTTTTTCGACTTTCGAAA